GGGGATCAGAAACCCACATGAAAGTAATAATACAGTATTCACAATACCAAGCAAATAATAAAGACATGTTATCTGCTCATTGGAGGGCCATGGTAGACCAGGAACAGATTTACATGCTTGTGATACACACTACTTTTGATCCTGACAACCAATCTGAGAGTAGTGTGCTGCATGTAGGCTCACAGAGGTAAAATAACTGGTTCAGGATCAAGTGATAGAGCCATGATTTAAATGCTCTATCTACAGAATCAGAGATGGTGGAATAGGATTGCATCTTTGAACCTTTTCTTGATTTGCCTGATCACTTTCTGACAAAGGCATAAGCATACTGTTCAAAAAAAAAATTTAATACTAATCACACTTATATCTAAATATGTGGCACTTTTCTTTCCCAAAGAGGAAATCTATTTTACTCTCAAGGAGGAGAAATGGTCTTTGCCCAGAAACACATTAATTTGGTAAGAATCTGGCCTATTTCTGGCTGTGCAGTCTACAGCTCTCCACTACCCTTTCCAAAACAGCCTGGTGCTTAGAGTTGAAAAAATAAAAAATAACCTACAAAAGCACATCACTGAACTCCATGTGTTAGCACCCAAACTCTCCCCAATTCAAAGGTACCAGCACCAATGTCCAAGCAAATCAAGGTGTCTCATTTGTGGACACATGGATGACTGCAAAAATTGTTCTACCCATGAGAGTTCAATGGGGAACAGCGCCTGGCAGAATGATAGCAGAGTCTGCTTCCACTTCAGAGCTAAGTCCTCAACTGTGAACAGAGCATGGCAAAAGGCAAAGCGCAGGTGTAGGAGTCAAGGAGCCTTGGTTCTAATCCTGACTCTACCACACACTAACTTTGTAAATTGGACCAAAGTTTGTTAACCTTTAAGATTCTCAGTTTGCTCACAGTAGTGGGAATTACAATATCAACGCTCGGCAGATACAGTGATGGTGCGTGGGATAACACATAGATAACAGATAAAAATCTTCTCCCACCCCCTGGAGGACCCTCTTCATTGGTGTGCTGGAACAGCTGTTATGCTGTCAGAAATTTTATAAGCTGATTATTAAAAACAACCATTATTGAAAATTAAATTATATAAACTTAAATAAACTGCCTTTAAAGCAAAGTTAGTAAGGACTCAAAGCTTGTCACTTCACTTTACTGTTACCTATGCTCTTGAGACTTTATGTCTATTAAATCTGTCTGGTAGAAACACTGCATAATGGCAGGCAAACCCAATCTCATCAGTGATGTCACACTTGTGCTTGAAATTAGCCATGTTAGAAATATTTATATGTAAATTGGCAAACACTACAAATTAGAATTCTCCTTTGGAAGGTCAGTTACTAAACAGTAAATAGCACCCCACTGGTATTTATATGTCATTGTAACTGTTTTCTGTTCCAGCATCTTGCATCTTTCCTCTCTACAGGTTCTCTACACACACGTGCGCACACACACACACACACATGAAATTTAAACATTCATGTCTTTCCTTATTCCTTCATTTTCAAATTTATTAAAAAATGTTTCCTCTCTGCTGAATTCTATACACTCTCATGATCCACTCTTAAGTCAACTTTTGTGCCACCATAACCAAAAGACATGACAAGAACAATTTTAGAGGAGGAAAAATTTATTCAGCACTCAGGGTTTCAGAGGTCTCAGTCCATAGATGGCTGACTCCACTGCTCTGGGTCCCAAGGTGAGGCAGAACATTATGGCGGAAGAGTGTGGAGGAAGAAAGCAGCTCAAGATGTAGCAATCAGGGCAGAGAGAGCTCTGCTCAACAGGAACAAAATATAAACCCACATCCTCAATGACCTACTTCTTCCAACCACATCCTACCTGCCTGTAGTTATTACCCAGTTAACCCACATCAGGGGATTAATGCATGGATTAGATTAAGGCTCTCATAACTCAAATCATTTCACTTCTAAATCTCCTTGTGTTGTCTTACACACGAGCTTTTGGGGGACACCTTATATCTAAATCATAACACACTCATTAAGTTATTCATTTCAAAAATATCTAAGCAACTGCTATTAGACAGGCTCTGCACCTGAAACTGGGGACACCACTGTAAGCAAATACAACATGATTCTACCTTCATGAAGTTCACAGTCACACTGCAGTCCAACTTCTGCCCCACCTTCATAATCTCCAACCCTTTCCTAACTCCCTTTTCCTCCTATGCCGAAGTCTGGCTTGGCACAAATCAGGAGCCACTTGTCAAAAAGAAACTAACTTTATTTTTAGAACTACAAACGCCAAACAAAACAGCTCCAGGGAAAAACCCTCAGAGCCCAACTGCCACCACCGGCTTCCACAAGCCTCTCTCCCCCACACCAGCCTCTCAACCTCCCACAATCCTCCTGCTCTTGAGGCCGATTGGCTGGGTTGCGTGGGCAGAGCCAAAGAAGTCACCCAATGAGCAGCTCCGTGGAGGAGCCAATCAGCTAGATGTTGCTGGGGCCGCTGTGAGCCAATCATCAGCTGGCAGTCTGAAGGGCAGGGAAACAGCCCAATGAACATCACCGCACAGGAGCCAATCAGCTAGATGTTGCTGGGGCCACTGTGAGCCAATCATCAGCCCGCAACTGGAAGTTTGCTGGCAGCTGGATCATCAGCCGGCAGCTGGAAGTTTGCTGGGGCCCCTTTGGCTGTGGCTCTCAACACTCCTACTTTGCCTTCTGTTAAAAAAAGAAAGAAAGAAAAAGAAATTCACAATTTTCCCACTTGCTTTATATTCCTTTCCTCCATGGCTCTCCACAACAGGTCCAGATTTTCTTCCTTTCTTCACTCTTGCCTTCCAAACACCATGCACCACAAAGAATCTAGAGAAAACCTTTTGAAAAGAAATGTAATCAGGTCCCTCCACATTTTTAAAATAAAACCTCCAATGTTTTCTGTTATGGTTTGGATCTAGAAATGCCCCTGGAAAAGCTCATGTTTTGAAAGCAATGGTCCCCAGTAGAGCATGATTTAGAGGTTAAGCTTTTAGACCATGGTTAAATCATACAGGGTATAACCTCATCAGTGGATTAATTCACTTGATGGATTAATAATCTGAATGGAGTACTAGGTGGTAACTGTAGGCAGGTGGAGGTAGATAGAAGAAGTTGGTCACAGGGGGCGTGGCATGGACTATATCTTGTCCTGGTTCCTCTGTGTCCCTCTCCCTCTGTTTGCTTCCTAGCTGCCATGAGCTGAAGTGGCTTTCTTCCACCATGCCCTTGTGCCATGATTTTCTGTCTCACCTCAAGCACAGGGCAATGGAATCAGCCAACCAAGGCTTTGAAACTAGGAACCAGAATAAACTTTTCCTCTTTTAAGTTGTTCTAGTCCGGTATTTTGGTCACAGCAACTAACAACTAACACATCTTCTGAATGCATCCAGAATACAACCCACACTTGCTTTTACGACAAATATGGCCTTTTATTTCCTGGGCCCTGCCCACCCCCAACAATATCCCACTTTCTCATCATTCTCAAGCTAAAACTTCTCTACCCAGATCTTTGCAGGGATGGCTCCTCACCTCATTCAGCATTCAGGAGGCCTTCCCTGACCTGCCAACCAAATTCCCCCAGACCCACCAGTAATTCTTCATCACCTCCAGCTTCACGCTCTGCTTAGCATTCACATTGTTCATTCATTGTTGAATGTTGTATGTCTTTCTCTCCAGAAGGAAGG